CTGCCTGCCCTCCCGGCTTTGGGGTACTGCCCAGAGCAGGGCGGTTAAACCAGCCTTGCCTGCTGGACTGCCTGCCCTCCCGGCTTTGGGGTACTGCCCAGAGCAGGGCGGTTAAACCAGCCTTGCCTTAGTGGCATGGCTGTCCCACCCCACTCCACCTGGGGCTCTGTGCAGTTACTGTCAAGTGTCAGAGAACCCACCTTTCTAAAGCTTCTTTTCTTATTTCCTTTTATTTTATTTTTTATTTATTTATTTAGTCCGTTGTGAAGCTTGAACTCAGGGCCTGGGTGCTATCCCTGAGCTTTTCTGCTCAAGCTTTTCTGCATTTGACCACTTTGAGGCATAGCTCTACTTCCAGTTTTCTGGTGGTTAATTGGAGATAAGAGTCTCACAGCCTTTCTTGCTCCAGCTGGCTTTGAACCACGATCCTCAAATCTCAGTCTCCTGAATAGCTAGGATGACAGGTGTGAGCCACCGGTGCCTGGCCCTAAGGCTTTGGATAGTTTCAGCAACTTGGCATTTGGCATGTCAGGACGGATGCCTTGGGAGCACTCTGCTAACTACTTTAGCAGGGAGGAAGCGCACCCAGCCCTCCCAGGCCAGTGTTGGCCTGTGCCCTCCAGACCCAAGCAGCTGCTTGCTCCTCTTTGTGTCTCCTGTACCTCATCCAGGTTCTAGTCAGCATGAGAGAGAGTGTGTGTGTGTGTGTGTGTGTGTGTGTGCGCATGTGTGTGTGTGTGTTTTAAATAAATGCACACCACAAAGCACTTTGGGGTTCTTTGCAAATCATCTCTGGCCTGTGAACTCAGAGGCTGAGCATGGACCCCCCACACCATCGGAGGAAGCCGGGGATCCCACAGGCTGTGAGCTTTGTGCTTACCACAGGTGGCCCTGAGTCACAGGAAACAAAGGGAGAGGGGTCTCCTCCAACAGGCACACACACCGCGCCTCGTCACACACTAACAGCGTCTAACAGCATCCTGTCCACCCACCCTGGGTCTGGGAAACGAAGGCCCTTTTGCTCTGAGCCCAGATTCTCCTAGAATCCACGCTGACAGTGTCTGCCGGGTGCTCTGCTTTCCCTCGGGTGCCCTGCTTTCCCTCGGGTGCCCTGCTTTCCCTGGGCTTGCTGGCTCCATCCCCAGGCGCAGTGGGAGAGGGTTACCATTTGCATGTGAAGTTGTGTCTCTGAAAGAGGCTTGAAAGCTTCTTCCCCAAGACAAGCACTGTTCAGAGATGGGAAACCACTGGGTCGGGACAATGCTGACTTTGTGAGCAGATTCACCCGAGGATGGATTCAAGTTTGGAAAGACTTTTGAGAGGGAGTTAACAGGACCCCAGAAGGTGGGCGGAGGCAGCCTGGCAAAGAGAAGTACCTTTGAAGGGTATTTGTGTATGTGTGTGTGTGTGTGTGTCCTGGGACTTGAACTCAGGGCCTGGGCACTGTCCCTGAGCTTTTGCGCTGAAGGCTAGGGCCACAGCTCAAGTGTTTAATTGGAGATAAGAGCCACACAGACTTCCCTGCCCGGGCTGGCTTTGAACCACCATCCTCAGACCTCAGCCTCCTGAGTAGCTAGGATGACAGGCGTGAGCCGCCGGCGCCCGGCATTTGAAGGGCATCTGGCCCTGGCCCCTTTGCCTTTTTCTTGCTCTGCCTCCCAGGTGCCACGAGAAGGCCCCCGCTGTTCCACCTCGGGCGTGGCCTTGGTGACGTCTCTGTCTCCCTGCAGCCCCGAAGCCCAGGAAGCCGCCACCCTTGGGCCAAAACCTCTGATATCATGAGCAAATGAATGTCCCTCCCCTTGCTGCATGTGGTAGGCATTCTGTCACAGTGATGACAACCATGGACTCACACAGGGCGGGCGTGGCTGGGGACACGTCCTGGAGGAGGGCTGCAGGCCCTGCTCCCTTCCCCCTTCGGCTGCGGGTCTGTGAGGCTGCGGCTTCCTCGGCCGCTTTCCTGCCGTGGTGTTCTGTCTCAGCACAAGTCCCAGAGTATGGCAGCGACTCGTCCCGGACGCGCTCTAGGTTAAGATCAAGCCAAGTGACACCTTTGGTTGTGTCTGGCATTGGCCTACTACAGGAGGCCACTTCCAAGCCACAGCGCATCTGGAGGGGGCCGAGGGAGGAGGCAGAGGGTTGGGGGGGCCGGGGGAGGGGGCAGAGGGTTGGGGGGGCCGGGGGAGGGGCAGAGGGTTGGGAGTCCCAGCACGGAGGAAGAATTAGAACAATAAAACCGGCTAAGGCCGAGACGCCGACGCCGCTCGGCATTGTGGGCACTGTCAATCTACACAGCGGCACAAAGTGCCCCTCCTCTTTGGCTGGTTCTAGCAATTGCTACCAAAGCAATACAGTCATCTCTGGACATTCGGGGAGCGATGTCGGCTGCGGCCCTCATTAGTGGGTAGGGCAGGTGTCCCATCGTCCCTCAGCCTGTCAGTCCCCAACCCGGTAGCAGGTGACAGCCGATCTCATGACCGGACTGGCTCATACCGGCCTTCCCTCAAGGTCAACGCTCTGGAGCCTGAACAAACCTGTCTAGCTAACATGACTTCTCTCTGTAAGACGCTTCCCAGCCTCCAAGCGCACGCACGGGGTCCAGGACAGCCCACACTTCACAGCTGAGAGATGAAGTGAGGACGGGTCTTTGTCCTGCTCACCCGGGAACGTGTGTGCGCCGGGAGGAGCGGTCTTCACGCCACACACACACCAGAGAAAGATGGTAGAAGCGTGGCAGAGCTGGCTCAGGGTGGCACACCAATTTGAGCGAGTGGGTGTTCTGGACTCGGACTAAATGGAGGTCTCCCAGAATTCCCAGCTCTCAGAGTCTCCATCAGAAGGTGCTTGTGTCTTAAGACAAGGTCTTAGGGAAAACGGAAGCCGAATGAGGACAGACAGGTGGACCCTGACCCGATCTGCGATAGGAAGAAGAGACCTGGACATGCAGAGGAGACCCCGCAAGGCTCAGCCAGAGACCGAGGCCTGGGGGGGCCGGGCCTGCCGACCGAGGCCTGGGGGGCCGGGCCTGCCGGCAGTGAGTGCCTCTCTGCACTGTGTCAGTCCACAGTGCAATCTACCCTTTTATCTGAGGTTTCGCTATCTGCTGTCTACAAACATGGAGTGGAAAATTCCAGGTATAAGCAATTCAAAAGCTGCTCTCCTGCCTGGGTGAGAATTGTCCTTGGTCTAGTGGATCCACGCTACCTTTGTCAGTCACTTTGGTAGATGGACTATTGTGGACTTTCAGTGCTCGGCTTCTAATAACCCTTATTTTTCTCAGTTATGCCCGAGCTGAAGGGGCTTGGTGTTGACCATGCAAATGGTCAAGCCATGAGGGCTTCCTTTAGGCAAAAAGATGAAGGATCCCATTTTGATAACAGTAGCAACCGGTGTGGGATTGACTCGTGTCCACTGACTCCGCAGCTACCTCCTGATGATGATCAGGAGCAACGCCCTCCCTGCTGTCACAGCCCCGCAGACGGGAGCCGGAGGTGACCTCACACATTCGCGTGCCTGCGCTGGCTTGAAGGACGTCTGAAGGATGGGAGGTGTGTCAGGAGTAAGGAAAGGGAACCCAACCCCGCTGGCTCAATACATTTCCACGCAGAGCGGATTTCACATGAGCGTGGGTGCAGCCGCTTCCCGCCGGGTCTGTGGCTCTGGAGGCCTCTGGGCATTTCTCTTTTGTGTTGAAGATGTAAAACTGAGACTCAAAGCCCAACCCCGTGTCTAAATGCAAATACAAACCCGTGCCTAAGATGTGTCACTGAACACACTGAAAGTTGCTCTTGTTTTTAATTATCATTTTAAAGAATCAGGGAACACAATAACCTCCCAAAAAATAAAATATTTAGGAATTAACCTAGCCAAAGATGTAAAAGAACTATTTAATGAGAACTATAAAAAG